AGATTTCTCAAATATTCAGGATGGTAGATGAATATAAATGAATATACACTTTAATAAATAAACAGAGCATCTACTCAAATATGGGTATCCTCTAAAAGTGATGTTTAAGTGAATATATATATATAAATAAACATATATATATATATATATATATATATATATATATATATATATATACCCAAGTATAGGATTGGTATATATGGAATGAATTCCAATAACCAACAATTAATATTTTTAAAAGAGTGCTCAATACAGAGTAGATCAAATATAATTATTTATTTAAAAATTCCAGCTTATGTAACAGCGTTTCCCCTTGCAAGGGGTGGTTAATTAATTTGAACCTTTTAAAAACATTTATTCTACATTCAACAACATCACTTGATAAGACACCAGGGGTGTTGAAACAAAATGGCTATTTTTGTAGTGATTTTATAACATGTTTATGTTATTATTAAATAAATAATTATATATATATATATATATATATATATATATATATTCAATAAAAAATATCCAAATGTTGGACAGTTTTTGTCCTTATTTTCTCCCGAAATTAAAGCAACTGTACAAAGTTTAGAACAGCTCATGATCAAACATAATAGACATTCATTGTCTGTTATATTCAACAATATATGTTTGAGTGATTTGCTGCCCCAATACACTATATATATGTTAATCTATGTGCCCACTTTCAAATTTGCATGCACTGTACCCCTGATATTGATCATTTTTACTCATAAATATAGCATACCTTAAAACTATATTTTGCTCACACACACAGACACATACTCACATATATATTTTTAAAATAGAAAGATGCTCACGTGAATTCCAACCACACTCAATATGTGAAAGCTCAGAATAAATGCTCCTATTCAAACCAACACAAAAATAAAATATAAATTCCATTACTAGAAACATCTCGCTATTAGGTCTTGTGTTTTAAATATCTCTCTCCTACTATCAACCTCACCCTATTTAACAGTGGAAATGGAAAGTTAAAAGTTTTTTAAAAAATAGGAAGATGCTCATGTGAATTCCAACCACACTCAGTATGTGAAGGCTCAGAATAAATGCTTCTATTCAAACAAACACAAAAATAAAATATAACTTAAACAGTCAAAACAAGAGGAAAAACTAACAACACCAAAAACAAAACCCCTGTTGAAAATGGCTAAGGAAGTGGCCAAAAGCACTTGGGACAATGAAAATTCTGGAAAATTTCCATACTCCCTTACTCCTATAAAATGGAGAAACATAAGAATGCTGGAAAAACTAAATAAAAAATAAATCTTTCTTCTCTGCCATTTTTGATGAAAGATGTTTAAAAGAAAGGTTTCTGGCCAAATATACATTAATATAAATATATATATGGTAGAGAGAGAAGTCAATGAGAGAGTGAGAGGGAGGGATACAGGGTGAGAAGCCAGTGAGAGAGAGAGAAAAGTATAAAGAAAGAGTGTGAAAGTGAAGAACAGATAAAGTGACAAAAGAAAAGGAGGGAGAAAAAGAGAATAAAGAAATTTGAGGTGGGGATAAAGTTAAAGAGAAATGACTACAGAGATATACATTGTGGTAGAAAGAGAGAGAGAAAGAGAGAGAGATTGAGAGGAAAAAGAAACAGTGGAAAGAAGAGAGAGAAAAAAGAATGAGGCAAGATAGACAGAGAAAATGATAGGGAGTTAGAGTTTGGCACAGCTTGCTATAACCACATATCCTCTTGACCTTTTACTGGTGGCCAGCAGATGGATCCAAACTTAGATGTCCTTTTGCTTCATTTCATTTAAAGTATCATTCTATAATGACCCTGGATTTCTTGCTTAACCCATTCTTCTTGTTGTTGCCTGTTCTGTGTTTCTGTATATGGATGTTTTTTTTTTTAATAGTGCCATCTGGTGACCAGGGCATTGCTCAGTTAGGAAAAAAGATGGAAGGGTTTAAACCTTGATTTGATTAACCCGAGCTACAGTCAAAAGAGTAAGTAAAAAATTGGTCACATACTTCCAGTTGTAGTCTGACATCAAATCTAAATTTTGATTTTTGAATGATTTCCTAAAAATAACAAATAAGGTTTTAAGCAAAAATATTGATGAGGATGTTGAAAACCATCACAATAGTTATCGATTGACAATAAGACATTTTGGAACAAATTACTTAAAAGACAAATTGATTATCCTTGGTAAGCAAAAATCAAAATCTAAATTGTATCCAATTGTTTGTTATTCACTGTAGGACACTTTTGAATAGATCTGTAGAAATCAACAACAAGTCTTTGGCAAAAGTAGAAAAAAAAACGAATGGTGGCAAAGGCAGTCAAGTATGACAGCAGCATTAGCAACAAATTATTAGGTTGCAAAATGTCCATGGTAGAAAAGCCAGATTGAAGCATTGGTTTGTGAATTGGGTGGCATAGTAGATGTGAGCTTAACCCCTGGGCTGTGCAGTGCAGGCTTAGTGAGAACTGAGTGAGCAGTACAAAAAAGAACAGGATCAGATATCCCAAGACATAGACAATGGAATGAGAACAATCTCTCTCTATAGATTAAACAAAGGGTTCAACGGATAAAGCTAAATAAGTTATCTTTATAACGAATGGCATAGTGATTGTGAGTTAAATCCCTAGTCTGGGTAGTGCAGACACAGTGGAAAGATGAGCAATAACTGAGCATTACAAAAAAGAACAGGATCAGACATCCCAATATACAGACAGTGGAATGAGAACAATCTACTCTTGTAGATTAAACAAAGGGTACAGATTGAAATTCATTGAAGGTTACCCAAATCAAAATAGGTAACTGAAGAAGTCTGGAGGGTGTAACAGAGATGAGGGAGGGTCATTAGTTTGGATGCAAATAAAGATAACTCCTTATTCCATAAATTCAGACAGAAATTTGTATTTTTGTACTTATATCCATATTCTGACACATTAGGAACAACTTATAAAGAAGAAAAATAATTTATCTTTGAGAAATAATTGTCTGCTATATAGTTTATTATTTTTAATTAGGCTTAGTGGGAAGCATTTCTCATAGTTATTAAACACAAGGTTAAATAATAGAAAAGAAGGAGTAGGAAGATTGTGTTGCATCAATCTTCCAAGTAGGGATGACCGACTTTGAAAATCAGTATTTGAAATCAGTTTTGAATATAAACCATTAGGAACAGTGAGAAACACATTACGTAAGGTTGGTATGGTATAGATTTGGTCTGCTGGTCTTCCAAAACATTGAAGACTGATATGTTGTACAGATTTGTAACCATCTACCCCACCACCCATCTTGTATCCCCAACATCAATTAGTTATTCCTGGAGGATAATGAACCATAAGATCAGATCCAAATTGCTGAGAATTGTTTTGAGGAGCATTCTGTTGATTTCCAACAAGAGGTATTGGCACCAAGTTTGACTGACATGAGCCCAATTGAGTATTTATAGGACATAGTATACCCATCCATCTAGCCCAAGATACTGAGAATTCATTTGAGGAGCATTCTGTTGATTTCCAACAAATGGTGTGAGCAACCCATTCTTCCAACATGGGTCCAATTACTCATTTATGATGCCCCTACAAATATCAAGCAGCTGAAGACAGCTATTGAGATGGTGTGGCTCAACCCCTTTCTTGTGGTCTTTCTTTCTCTTGCACAATCAGTGGTTCATTAACTTTTTTCATTTACCTGGCTAGAGGAGCCCTGACAAAATATTAGGCACAAAATGAATAATTGGACTTTGTCAATTTTTAGTCTGCGGTCAGAGAAATGTTGTCCATGATCCAACAAACATAGATAGAGGACTCATCTTGTCATCAAGCTTCTGAGGTCTGGAATGAAATATGCTAAATGTCTTGTAAAAAATGGAAAAAAAATAAGTCTGAAGACGACCTTATTGGAACAAATTTATATTGTAATCTAACAATTATTCCCCATCTAGTATTGTGAGCACAGGGCTGATTGGTAAGAATGTTAGCATTCTGACCATGAGACCCAGGTTCAAATCTTACTATGGTCAATTTGTCAATGAGGTGACTTCTTGATAATATTGGCCTGAGGAGGGAGACATTTCCAGTGTGGAGCACTGTTGGAAAGTGCCTGAAAAACCATGCCACAAATTCTCCCAAGTGTTGTGATGGAAACTTGGTAGACACAACTGTTTGGAAGCTGTTGATATTTGTGTTAGCATGAAGTCACAAGTCATTGTGACTGAGGGTTTGAGCATACTGGCATTGTTCAAACTGTTGATCACACACACACACACACACACACACACACACACACACACACACACACACACACACACACACACACACACATATGTATGAAGTCACATCATGATTACCAAGGGTTTGAGTGTACAAGCCTTGTTCAACAACTGATCACACCAAATTATGTGCTCTTTCTCCCAGAATCTGTAACTGTAACTAACATCTGCTCAGCATCATTACAGCATAAACCATAGGTTGACTCTGTAGACATTGAAGAAACACAGGCATCCACAACAGGAATTAGATAGCCAACTTAGCAGACTGGCATAATTGTCCCAGTTTAGTTCATTACTCACATTGAAGCCCATATTCTTAACTACACTTTAAAAAAGGAATTCCAAATATACACACTAAGGTCATGAATAAATATATATTTTTATTAACCTTTAGCACTCAGTAGGTGACTATTTTTGCCAAGCAAAATGTTGGTCCTGCCAATGTTAAATTTGAATTTCTTGTTTGTGTAGCCATATCCTTCTATAACAACAACTAAAGCAATCTTGATTGAAATTGATTGCCAGGCTACTGCAATTTCAAATATGTAGAACTAATATATAAAACACTATATTTTGATGTGATTCCATATATAAGCAGTAATATTTATATATGATACAGTGTGCTAAATGTTATAACAAGGCACTTATTTCATCTCTATTCTGTAGGCAACTATGAAATACAGTAAGTACTAAAAATTTTGTGTTATCTGAATTTCTGGGATGAACAATTATTATTATTAAGATTTGGTTTATTGTTTTTATCTTTGTTATTGTTATTACAACATTTCAGCTGATCTGCACTCTGACCTTTTCCAGAAGGCTTGTTCTATAGGACAATAGCCTAGTACATTAAATCATGGGCTTGTGAATTTGATGACATGTTAATTGTGAGTTCAATACCTAGACTGGGCAGTACAAACTTAAACTTGGTGGATTGATTTGGTTTTTCATGGCTTTTGCAGGTTATTTTAAGCCAGAAAATATTTTATGAATTTTTTGGTGATAATAATGATTTACTAATACAAGTCTTACTAATTAATCCATAGTTAGGAGGAGAAGAGGTGGATTCAAGGCTATTTACAAATAAGTGAATATAATGAATCTGGCTGGAACTGGAACTTGACTCTCCAATTTCCAACTTTGTAAACTCATTGAAAACACATTGAGCAATAAATGAGCAGTGCAAAAAAGAATAAGACTAGATATCCCAAGACATGGACAGCAGAACAAGAACAGATTAAATAAAAGATTCAGTTCAAAATTCTCTTGAAGATTAACTTGATTGAAAAACACCTGAAGAAGGTCAGAGGGTACAATGATTGAAACATTATTTTAATAATAATAAATATAAGGACATTTATCTGAATGTAAATAATGATAATTCCTCACCCTAGAAATTCATCTCAGAAGAATTTTCATTATCATAAGCAGTATTTCCATTTTGTTTGTTGTCATATTTCAACTGTTTTGTCTTCTTAGCCTATTAATGTCCACTAATAAAATTCAATAAATTATAAATTTTATTAATTATAATTTAAAATAAAAATCATTATTTATAGGCTTCTAACAAAAATCTGTTCTTAATTTGTAAGAATCCAGTATTAATTAGAGGTTTCTGCCTATAACCTATTAATATCAAACCATCCCAAAAATGGGACAATGGCTATTAATGGGCCAAGATATCTGTTATAGCAACCTTCCAATAACTTCAACTGAGTACCATCGGAATAGATGGCTGCTATTCTCCTGCCCAATACCTAAATACAAAGAGATGCCAGTAAACATACCAAGCAAAAATGATACCTATTGAAATTCAGTACAAAATGATCCCTATTAAAATTCAGTACAAAAATGTTTCCTATAATAATTTCATGCAAAAAATGATACCTGTTATAATTCAGTACAAAAATGATCCCTATAAATATTCAATACAAAAAAAATGATACCTATTAAAATTTAGTAAAAAAATGATCCTTATAAATATTCTATACAAAAATTGATGTACACAAATTATCCTTATAAAAATTCTATGCAAAAATTGTAACTATTAAAATTCAGTCATAAAAGGTTCCCTATAAAAATTCCATGTAAAAAATGATACCTATTAAAATTCAGTACAAAAATAATACCTATAAAAATTCTATGCAAAAAATGATGCCTATTAAAATTCAGTATAAAAATGATCCCAATGAATATTACATGCCAAAATTGATACCTATTAAAATTCTTTAAAATGTTTCCCTATAAAAATTCCTTACAAATATGATACCTAATAAAACTGAGTACACAAAATGATTCCTATAAATATTTCATACAAAAACCTGTTAAAATATTTCATACAAAAAAACTGTTAAAATTCAGAACAAAAAAGATCCCTATAAAAATTACATGCAAGTAATGATACCTGTTAAAATTTACTAAAGTTAAACCCTACAAAAATTCCATGCATAAAATGATACCTATTAAAATTCAGTATGAAAATGACCCCTATAAAAATTCCATGCAAAAATTGGTACCTATTAAAATTTAATACAAAAATGATCCTTATAGAAACTCCATGCAAAAATTGGTACCCGTTGAGATTCCATACAAAATTACTGAAGTTGTCAGAAGAGAGAAAGACATTCACTGAATGTTTCCTTCTCCACCAACTCTTCATATTTTTGTAATTAAGTGTAAAAATAATTATTAATTAAATTATTTGGGCTTAATTATTTCTCATGTATTTATTTAAATGTTTATATACACACATAAAATGTTCAGTATCTATTTTGCAAAACAATTTTATTTTTTGAATCTTATGAAGTTTAGAAAATATCAAATTATTATTTGTCTGTGTGAATTCAGATAACTGAGATTTTCTAACTCTAAAAGAGATAAGTATAGTTGATATTTATACTATATGGTTATTTTGGATTTTACAAATTCATCAATGTATGAGAAACAGGTGGGAAGGGTAGGGCATGTGTGGCTTTATCAGAATTTGAACATCATCAATTTTTACTACGGAACAGTAAGTTCAAGACAAAAAGAAATGAAATAATAAATATTTTTCATAGGTGGTGATAAAGATATTTTTTGCAGTGTTTGATATTGAATAATATATTTTTGGATTCTCAAAAATCACTATTCAATATCAAATATGGATGAAGGGGCAGTAAAAAATTTTATGATTTCTCAAAAACTTTATTTTACTTTCATATGTCAACTAAGTAAAAAAGATACTTTTGTCATCACACACATACACACACACACATATATAGGCATGCAATTTCTTCAAGGTGGGATCGAAACTCAACCAATTTGACATCAGTCAGAGACTCTAACCCCTAGGCTTTTGGTGCAGACTACACAAAAAGGGAAGGCATTATATACAGGATATAAGTGTTATCAGCTGCCAAAGTGCTCTATTCATTGTGAAGAGCTTAGCATTATAGCAGCAGCAGCCATCAAATACCCTTTCTTCCAAACTGCTCATCCGACAAACAGGAGTGAATATAGTCATCCACAGAAAGACTGTTTTGCTGTATCACAACTCTTCAGTGTGGCTAGACACATGCTTACTTCAACCCGGGACTGAAACTCAACTGATTTAACATCAGTCGGAGACTCTTACCCCTAGGCTATCGGCACACGCTATATCAGCTGCTGGAGTACTCTATTCATTGTGAAGAGCTTAGCATTAAAATCAAACAATATTAAAAACACCAGATATTTTGTGTAGATTAATTTTGCATTGATCGACTTTTCCAAATTATGAATGATGCTTCTCAGTCAAGGAGAAAATTCCATCAGAAATTTTCAGAAGTCCATTTTGGAAGAAAAGTACAGGAAATATGGTCCAAGCTTTTGACTTTCTTAAATCATCTGGGTAGGTAGAAACAATTGGTGGGTTTAATAACATTTTGAAATGGTGTAAGGGCAGAATCTTTTTAAAACAAATAAACTGATTAGTAGTTGTATTTTTTGAATGAGTACTCCTTCAATAATCAAGTTTGTTTTTACCATTTGATTCTGCTATTTGGCATTGTTTGTTAGTAGCTATTTAATGTTGTTATGATCCTTATGCAGTTTATTAATTTTTTGTCTGTTGCACTGTTAGGTGACAAGTGAGTCTCCGTGAAAGTGTGGTTGTGGTATATCCTATGCAAAATGATTTATGATTTTTATTTACAGAGAAAAATTCTCAGAGTGATTAAGTATATACATATTAACATTAATCTTATATAAGGGGTTAGAAGTTTGAGATATATTATTTTTAATAATTAAATTGTTAGTTTTGAATTTTTTGCAGTAAATAATAAATTTAATGTATTTATTTTTATGGACTGGATTTTTTTATATCAAAGTATGATGTTTTTTATTACTGTTTCATCTTTTTTGCCAATTTGGTGCATTTGTTTTTTTGTAATATATGTTAATAATGTTATTGTCAATATTATGTCTATGATTTATTTTTATGATTAAAAGTGTTGTTTAAATGAAATTTGTTTTGCTTGTTGACTATATAATTAGAGTACCCATTATTGATAAGTGTTTGTTTTATATCATTTAATTCTTTAAGGAAAATTATTATGGATGAGGAATTGAGTTTGGATCCTTGGATTTGGTTATTAATGACAGCAGTTTTATATTTTTCAAGGCATTTACTGTTGTAGTTTAGAAGACAAGAATTAGAACTAGTAGACTTTTTATACAGGGATGGTGTAAAATTATTACTGTTATAGTCAATGAGAATATCTAGAAATGGGATTTTTTTTATTGATATTAAGTCCAAAAGTGAAATGTGTTGGATTATTCATAACTCGTAAAAGTTCATCATTAAAATTAATCAACACAGAATATCTGTAGTTTTTAATAGTATTTTCATTAAAGAACATTTGCTGCCAAAATGCACACACACACACACACACACACATATATATATATATATATATATATATATATAAAGGGTGTTCCAATAACTTGGACTGATTTTAAATGTGAATTCAGTTTAAGCGTCTAATGATTTTTTCTTTTTCTTTCAGATTTAACAACTTAAGTCTTTGGCAATTTCAACCATGGAAAGATTAACAATCAAACAATGTGTTTAAGTTTCAAGAGTGCAACTGGAAAAATTATTCGTAAATTCAAACAAACTGGGTCGGTGGCTGATGTGAAAACACCATTGCGTGCTCGTTTATGCCATTCAGTTGAAAACATTGCTGCAGTGCACAAGAATGTGACTGAAAATCCAGATACCTCTTTTTGTAAATCGTGCAGGAATTCAACCTCTTCACAACAAGGTTACATCATTTCCAATTGCATTCTCGGTTGGTTGATTATGTTGACCAACAAAATCGCGAAGTGTGCAAAATGTTTGAACATCCATTTTCATAATGGGCTTTGATAACTTTCACATGTTGTTTGATTGTAGTGTAGCTATATTTAAAATTGGTCCAAGTTATTGGAACACACTTTACATCCAAACAACTTTGATTAAAATGAACAACTGACATGATCTGCCTGTTTAATTTTTTATTGTATAATAATAATGTGTTGAGTATTGTTGAAAATGATTGCAATGGTTAAAGTACTTGAACAAAACAATAACAAATATGAACTTTGGACAGTTTATCCACAACTATGAGCACAATACTCAACACTTTATTTGAAAATTGGAAAAATACAATAAAAAATTAAACAGATAGAATCTTGTTGGTTCTTTTTAATCAAATTTATTTGAATGAATGCTTTCTACCTACCTATATATACCTTATTCATATATATGTATATTAAATGTTACATTTTTTGATCTTATTAAAAATATGCATATATGTGACTAACATTCTCATGATGATAGAACAAATTGTTAAACACTTAAAATTAACTCACTTCCATTTTTATTCCCATATTTGTTCTAGTGAGTGAATGATTGAGTCTATCACTGTGAAACTTTTAATTATGAACATGATTGTTACATTTTTAATAAGATCCTAGAAAGGTAATATTTACCTTATAATATATACTAGCAGCATGGCCCAGTGTTGCCCGTGCTTGATTCAAAAATCGTACGACTCATACAGCAATCACTATCACTTGACTTAAAATATTTTTGCTCTTCCTTGTCTTTAAAGGAGTACCCTTTGCCGTGCTGATGTTGCTACATGCCTTACTTCTTGCCTATCTCACACTGCGAATTTTTTCTAAGCTCTATACTAAACATTAAATCTGTTACAAAAAAAGAACTAAACAAAATGAACACAAAACTATCAGCTTTAAAAAAGGATTCATAACTGGAAAAACTGAATGAAAAAAGAATGTTAACAACAAATACTTTTTCACACCCAACCCAGTTCTGCAGAATCAGAATCAACGTTGAGTTTAAGCAAATGAATGAGCGAATTGGAGTAAAGTGCCATGCAGATTTAAATTTTTTCCACTTGTGATGAATGCAGCTATCGATTTTTTTTTTGCATGCTAGCATGCTAGTTAACATTTGTGTCAGTCAGCTGTTGGCTCTCACGCTGGCCAATAGAATCTTCCTGCCTATTCGTGTCAGCCAGCTATAGGCTCTCACTCTGGCCAGTAGAAAATGGCCGCAAACTATATGAAAACTGCTGTAGAAGCATGAAAAAATTGATTATTTCCGCTATTGATGGGAGTTGGGAAATGCAAAGTCAGTCTTGGCCTTCCCGCTAACTTGGAGCATGTGCATGTAAATTTTGGTGCAAATCTGTCAAAAATAGTGTCCGTACATTCGTTACACACGCACACACACACAAACACACATCCTGCCTTTTATA